CACAAACGCCTTCAATCACCAGCCGTCTTCGCTTACGACACCATCACATCCTCAAACACGACCCTCCCTCCTGCCTCCAGCAACGCATCCCTCACAAGCAGTAGCACCCAGCCTGAGACCGGCACACAGGACGGAGTGACCTGCCCTCCCTCACTCCCTCCATCCCCCAGGGCCTCGCTCTACCTTTTAAACGCGAACGCACAAGCTAGAAAAGCTGTGTCGTATAACCTTGCTGGATTAAATCCTGTCTACTTGCTTCGGAAAATGCTTGTCGAAGACCAATAAAGAATGTGTGCTCACAGCCACATGATGTAAAAAGGCCTCGTTATTCCCAAAACACCCAGACGAACTGACCCCGACCCAAACACGTGTCCCAACCCCCCATCCCCGAACATGACGCTGGGGCCGCAAAAGGCACCACCCGCTCCCTGACGCTGCGATTGAAACGTCACGGCCGGCGGGCGGTGCGTTTTTGTCGTGCTTGTGCTTGTGCTCTTTTTTCCGGAGGAGGGGACTTCTTCTCCCAGAGGCTCGCGTCCCCCGCTCGACTGACACGTACTTTAGATTCTATTATTACCAGAGTGACAGTTGCCCCCTCCTTCCTCCCTTCCTCATCTCTCTCTCTCCAAAAGCGCGCCAAGTTTTTGAAAGGTGGCGCTCTGCCACGTGACGGGGCATACGCGTGCTTTTCAAGGCGCACGGGGGGGAAATGAACAAAGTTGGGGGACGGCAATGAGCCGCGCTAACTCATGTAAAAATCGGCTGCTGCTGTTGGGTCTCGTCTGGTATCGGAGGGCGCGAGGGTTGAAGAGCAGGCAAGGGGGCTTGGAGGGAGGAAATTATCGGCAAACATCGGGAGAAAATAAGGGAAATAAGATAGGCGAAATCAGGCGCTTCCCGCCAAACAAGCGCCATAACAGAAAAAGAATGTGAGATATTGTTTTGTTTTCGCATTTCCTTTTTTTGAGGTTCCTAATTGAGGCCACGTGGAGTTGCAGTAGAGTGAATAACGTCTAGACGGCCGGACGATTACCATACTCACCTCTGCCCACTCTCCCCACCCCCCACCTCCTGCCTGCCTTTCTCCACCTCCCGCCCTAATATTTCTGATTCCCAACATATTCGCGGGTTACTTATTCATCAAACCGATCGATAATTTTCTCATGGCGTACAGTACGTTGTTTTTTTCGGCGAATGGGTTTATTTGCACTATGTTACGTACGTTCTTTTTGGCCAGTTCCATTCCAACAGCCTGCAGCCCCCTCCTCTCTCTCTCTCTCGGGGGAGCCCTGCCGACACAGCCCCCCCCCCCCTCAACGCAATGTGCACACACCACACACGGACGCGGGGGCGGTGCTATCTCGAAACATTCCACACCAATGGACGTCGATCGGATCTGAATGAACAGGCGTGTTGTGTTTCGTTAGTGTTGCGAGGCGGCCTGAGGCCGGGCGACCACGCCACACGGGGCTTTGCGGAGGCTGGTATCAGTGCGAGTATACCTCGGCGAGTACCTTAGTGGTGTGTCGATTTTACATTACCCCACTGCTCTGGAAACTCAAGTGTGAATCCCGTAGTATAAGCATTATTTTAAAAAGACGGCGCGGATCACTTACCCTGTATATGATCATGAACACACGGCCTCGTGAATACACGTGTGAGTTTTCATCCTGAATACATATGTGGAAACGCATCGCCTTTTATCAAAGTCGACGATGAATCAACGTTGATCTGACCATTGTATGGTCCGAAATTCAACGAAACTCCGACTTCGACGTCGATTCAACGATGAGTCGAATTTAAATTTTCTGCTAGAAGCAGGTACAGCATCCATGTACGCACTTGCGTTTCCAGAGCAAGCAACCCACCCAACTTTCTCGTTTTTCTCACTACTTCACTTGATCCAAAAACCGACCAATATCCATTTCTAAATGGACGTGGCTTTGTTAAGATATTGGTCTTTGGAAATGCCTTTCAAAAGGAATTCCAAACGGGCATAGCCTCGGTGGGTGCTTACACCGCGCGCCTCGGTGGGTACTTACAGCGCGTGCCTCGGTGGGTGCTTACAGCGCGCGCCCCGACGAGTACCAGGCTTATTCAGAGGCGCATTACCTGAAGATACTCGGGCCGGGCCGCTTCTGGAGCCGGGTGGAGCACAGAGCGGCTCCCTCGTTCATGAATGCGCAAGTAGCTAGTTACATTCAATTTGGGGCCGAAAGATTACCTGCAGCGCCGCCCGGCGCCCTATCCTGAGCGCCACATCCCTCAACATTTTGTTATTCTTGCGGCTCTCTCTCTTTTTTTTCTTTTCTTCTTTTCATTTCTGCTCTAGCAGAAGCACTACTTCCTTCTTCCCGCCGCCGGTGCGGATTTTCCTGTTTATAGCTTTGTCCTGTTTCGTTGTGCACTCGAGGCGAAACTCACCTCAAACAGGCCCTCGAGCACGCGAACGGCGAAGAACCAGCCGCCGCCGGCCCGCGCCAGGAAGGGACTGACGATGGTGAGCACGGCCGGCACCAGGGTGCCGAGGCCGAAGACGATCTTGCCGCCGAAGCGTTCCGCCAGGAGGCCGCCGGGGAACTGGCCCAGCGCGTAGCCGTAGAAGAAACCCGTGAGGATGAAGGCCTGGTACTCAGTGTTCCAGTCGAATTCACCCGTCTGTGAAACAGAATAAAAAAGTTCTACGATCAACATCACACTCTTTTCAACGGCAACTATTAAGATCATTACACACACATTGAGTGTTTCAGCCGACGCACCGGTGCGGGCGGGTTTGCGCACTTTCTCTGCCCGTAAAGAGACTTAGCCCATGTAAGTAGGCAAACCACCTCTCGCATTGGAGTGAGCAAAGAAACATCCGGCTTTTACTAACTGCTCAGCTGTACTTGAACCTCGTGCGTGGCTTATTCAACAACTTCAATGTAAGAGGGACTTTATGATCGGCCAGTATGTGTGTGTGGAAAAGGTTGAGAGGAAACAAAAAACTAAAACAAAAAAAAAGAACGGCCGCAAAAGTGTGCGAGCCCATCCATAGACCCGACGGCCGACGGCCCTCCGTGCTCTGCCCATAACTCACACATTCCAGACGGTTTTTATTTTCTTCCATATCCGCAGAGGATACGGTCGCAATCGCCGCGCAAGAGTATTTTGTCGAGTTTACTCGCCGCCGCAATCCATCGCCGCCCAGGCCCAGCCAGCCCGCCGGGGCGCCCGGCATGGAAACGGAAGCGAAGTGGAGCGGCGCTGCAGCGCGGCGAAATTGGCTGCCAAATTTATTAGCCAGAGGCGCGGCCATCATAGCAGTCGGGGGCTGGTCGGGTCGGTCAGTCTGCGAGGCGGCAGCGGGGGCGGCGGGGGCGGCCCTGGTCGTGGCCATTACCGGGGGCGGTATACTGGAGGAGGTGCGCGGTGCGAGGCCCTACATCACCGCCGGCGCTCATAATAACGACGGCCACGGCCACCTCCGCCGCGGCCTCGGCCACCTCCTCCGCCGCGACCTCCGCGCCAACCGCTACAGCTGCAGCTGCCGAAGCCCCGGCATGTTCTCTGAATCATTGATTTTCTTCCCAGCAGCAGGGCCCATTTCTCGCGCGTTTCGCACAGCGGGCACGATAGAGAG